ATTGTATTTTCAAACTTAAAGAAATATTATAAGTTTAACTGGGAATTATCTATTACATAATAGCCCCCCGAAGACTACAACAACAAAAGATCTACCTCCAATGACCAGTATTCCCAAAATAAAAAGAAAAGGCTAAAAACTATTGACGTTGATCTCAAAGATGCTCCTAAAGATGGTAAGTTTTTCTTATATTTATGACAAGACAAGAGATACAATTCACAACATATTACACAAAAATATGAAATCAAAATAATTTTGCAATAAAGAATACAGTTTGGTATAAATTTGCTATACTTAAAAGCTAGTGATTTAAATGATATTAAATTACTTGGAAATTCTCCAAAACACAGATGCTTAAATGTTAAGATCCCATTAGATTAGAGGAAATTTAGAGCATAGATTGATGATTGTTTCATTTACATTGATTATAGTGGTTAAAGGTAAAATGAAGAAGAGTCATTGATTGGGAATGCTGCTCTGCAGCATTTAGACTTTGGCAGTGGTGAGTAAACCTTTGAATAACATCGACCAAAAATCAACAGAAATTTGTATTTGCATTTGGGTCATTTGTTAACTATATTTTTAATAAGTATTGTTAAAGAAAAATTCTGACAAATTGTCTATACTGTAATAGAATTTATCATATTATTACAGTTTGAATTGTAGTTTCATAAAAATTAAAAACACTATAGTGTCAGCAGCAGTAACTAACAATGATCCTTATGTAACTAACTACTAGTCTTAGTAATTAACATCATTTTCTATGAGAGTAGTCTATTTATTTAATAAACAGTAATTTATTAAAAATAAAATTATCCTTTTATAACAAATATGCTTTTGATTTTTACAAATGTTGACTAGATGAATAATGTATCATAATACATTGTTAAATTAAAGCAAACTACTAGAAAATTTAGATTTGATTTTTTCTTTCCTTTGAAGTTATGACAATGAAGTCTTCATTTTTATGATTTTACACTGTTTTAAAAAACAGAATTGTTCTGTTATGATTGGATTTCACACTAAAACTTAAGAAAATTGGATTTAAAATACAAAAACGGTATATGCTGCTTTCAAGAGCTAAAGATTGTTTTAGATACAAATTGCAAGTACATTCTATTTGACTTGTGTATGAAGCCAAAAAATATTAAAATAATCTCAGACTCAAAGATGGTTTATATAAAATTTAGAATATAACAATATACCAGAAAGTGAATATGCATTGTTTAGTTTTTTTTTTGTTAAAAAAAAATGTCACTAAGCTTCAATGAACATCACTTTAATGTAATTAAAAAAAACCAAAATGCTTCATAAATAAAATTTAAAAAATGAATTGATTTCATTGGAAAACATTTGATTTGTTCTTTCCAAATTTGTAATTAACAAAAAAAGCACATTTTAGAAATAAATCTATTTACTCTGATATTAATCAAAAAATTGCTTAAATTACAATTGCATGTTTTACATATCAAATCAATAGTAGCAATTTGAGATTTTCAATATTTTTTTTATTCAGAATTCTTTGAAATAATAAATGCAAATTGTTTTAATTAAGAAAAAGTATTAACATTTTTTGTTTAGCTCAATGTATGATCAATCTGAAAGAAGACTAGAAAATTTAACAATGTTAAATGTATTAACAAATTAAGACCTATAATGGTTGATTAATTTATACAGCAAAAAATAAATTTAGATTTTCCTTGTTTTTATGCATTTTTGCAAATCTGATGTAATTAAAATTATTCATTGTTGATGGGAAAGTGGAAAAGGTTAAAAAAAAATTATAAAGTCCATCCCAAAATAATATCTCAAACTTTTTGCATTATTCCAAATTGCACAGAACAAACAACTACACATCATTATAATCTAACAATGTATGAATCACAAGAACCAAATTTATGGGAAATGCTCTGAAAACTCTCCAAAATAATATAGTTTTACAATACAGAATCATTATGTAAATTTCTTAGAATTTTTTTAGACAACTGCTAAATGGTTCAAATTCATTATAAACTGGTTGTTAGCCACAGAATGCAAAAATGATTAGAATACAGAATGAAAAGACCAAAAGTGAAACCTAACAGATAATGATTCACTATCAGCAAATTCACCCACTCCAAAAGTCTGCAAGTGGTCAAAAACAGTATGTGGGCCCGAGGGAGAAGCATGCCTTCATAAATACTTTACTGAAAGAAATCAAGTCAGTTCATAGATTTCTGGCTTGTTTTGAAAATGTCAATTTATCAAAATGCAGCTTTCCTCAATACTGACTCTGAAATATGTTACCTCACCTTGAATTTGCTCAATAGCACTTCTCAGAAGGTACCGTATGAGAAAAAGTTAAACGTGTATCCATCAAGATTATCCAGGTTGTAGTACAATTGATACATGACTGGGCTGATAAGAAAATGAATAAAATGTCCTATTCAAAGCATATTTATGGAAGTGGATCAATAGTGGTTTGGAGTGGCTGAAGTTAAAACAGAATGACTAACTTGATGGTCATTTGAAGTAAAACTGACCCCAAAATTGCCAATAGTCCTCAATTAGGAATTTTTGGAGAGAAAAACTTTGTCTTTCAGCATAATAATTCAAGATTTATTGTGTCTGAGTTCACCAAAGATTTCTTCGAGAACAAAGACGCNCCATTCTTTTTATAATAATGGTTTAAATTTCCATTGCTTTCACTCTCAAATTTGTAGTCTCAACATTGAATTTTAAGAATTTATATACATTAATCTCATTATAAAAATTTGATTAAAGTTTATAACCTTGGAATTATTTATTATTTATTTTTATCTAAAACCATTGTTTGTTTTTCTTAAAATTACATGAAAATGTCAAGTTGGGTTTGGACTAATAAGTAATATTGATAGAAGTAATAATTATGATAAATTTCAGATGGATTTTAACCCAATTGTCTTTTTTTTTCATATTATAAAATACTTAAATTTTTTTTAAGAATTAACTATCACTTAGCAGAACAATTACATTACTATGTATATGATTGTGTGTTTGATTAACATAGTCCACATCACAATAATATTACCTTTATCATGTTGATTAGTTATAAAAGCAATAAATTTTAAAATGTGAAACACAAGTTCACTGTAGTGGAACCCGATGTGCCACAATTATTATGGTCCAGAATAGAAATCATTTCCTTTTCAAATAACAATAAATACGAGCAAATTTAATAAATATATAGCTACTGTTGGATTGTGTGCAGATTATGATCACCTTTTAAATCAAAATATGCTGTAAGTATTTAAAATGCTTGATTAAATCTTCAAAACAAGAGAAAAATAATGGTGATGTAAGACTGTATGATTGACAGAATATAGATAATTTATCATAGATGAAACTCTATACTGTATATAAATGTCACACTTGGCCAGTCAATCTCTGAAAAGTGGACGCCATCAGGACCAAGAAATTTGTCTGTTATTTAGATAAAATACAGTACGGCTGCCAGCATGTATAAAGTGGTTGTCTTATGGCAAAGACTACAATTGGATTATGAAAACATCAAATTTGCATTGGGAATGTAAAAATAACAAACAGTATATGTACACATACAGTATATTACTTCTCTTTTTAGATTTACAGTTTGAATGTCAAGTTATGAATGCGATTTGCTAGATGCTTCAAGGAGTAAGGAAAGTATTCCTGATTCTTGTGTTTATAACATCATAAATGATCTAAGCCAGCAGTTTCCAATCTTTTTATCGCCGCGGACCGGTCAACGTTTGATATTTTACCGCGGCCCACTGAGGGGGGATGTTGATTGTTTATATTTTAGATTGATTTAATTTAATAACTTTAATTGAATTGTATTTAAACATGCCTTCAAAATAAAATATAGTTACACCAAAAAATGAACGTTAAATCAGTGAGAACCCTGAGCTTGTTTCTTTGCAACGAGACGGTTCCATCTGGGGGTAATAGGAGACAATGACACCCGAAGTGTGTTTATGTCCATTTTATTCCGTTGCTCCATCATCCATTAAAAGTCGCACAAACCCAAGAGAAATACACCATAGTAAATAAAATGGAAATACCAGTAATTTAATGTTCCTTGGGCGGCCCCGGTACCATTTGATGCACGGACTGGTACCAGTCCGCGGCCTGGGGGTTGGGGACTACTGATCTAAGCAACTAACAAAAATCAAGTAGGTGTGATTTTTCAAACATTTTTTCTTTTTTCAATAACTGATTTATTAAAAATTACACTTTAGCCATCACAAAGCTGTTAATATCATAAATTATGTCATAAATGCAAAAAAAAGAATATCTTCCTACACTTTAAAGTGGTCGGCAAATTGCCTTCGTAACACGATCTTCGAACTTTTGTCAAATAAATGCTATTGCAGTAACTTTAAAAATGTTTCTTTTTCGTTACTACTATGCTGCAGTTCTTGTCAAATGAACAAATAACTTGGGAAAAATTTATGGTTTCTTGGTACTGTAAACTTAATTCCAACAATAAGACTGACAACTCTATATGTATGACAATACATATTCTGTCACAATTAGTCTTCTCTAACAGAATGTTATTAATAAGGTTAAGAATATTTTCCAGCTTTTTACATACTGTCCCCTTCCCTATTCCTATTTTTAGCCAGTCTTTATTCCATTCCTGCGGTCCAAAAGAGTATTTAAACTGATTCTTTGTTTTCATTTTAAAATATTTCATATGTAACTAATTGTTTCGGAATATTGAAGACAGGACTTTGTCATCCATTACCAATCTTACAAAAACACAATGTCCATAATTTAGAATATCTGCTATTTAGAGATAAATATAATAAATGTCCTATTTGAATGGTCTGGGGATTGTAAAAATGTCTGTTAATAGAGTTTTCACTGTATATATAAAAAAGAAAATTGAAAATTTATTGTTTGATATGACATTCTGCCTGGGATTAAAATTATTTATAAACACTTAAGAAAAATTATTGGTAAATTTCATTATAATTTTTAAAATTTTTTGCTTACAGTGATGAAGAAAAAGAAGATTTAGATGCTCTGTTATATCTTCCAATTTCACCAGAAATTGATGAGCCTGAAGAAGGTTGGGGACAGATACCCGAACAGGTATTTCCAATAATGATTCTCCATCTCAAAAATTTGCCAATGACACATTTTATACTAACAATGTAATTTACAAACACACATCAGGAGTACTAGGTCAATTACTTTTGATAATACCAATGGCAATAGAAGATTGAAGTTGTACCACATGTAAATTTATTGGATGTTAAATCTCTTAGATATTTATATGCAATTTGATATTTAAATGTACCACAGAAGCCTTCTATTGCTATCATTTTTGTACTACTTTGGATAGTACCAAAGATTTCAAGACTTGACCTCTGGGTTAAATATAAGAGAATTGCTTATATTTTTTGGTATTTTTGGCTTATTCCTGTGTGAGAATGAGATAATTTGAAAATTAGTCTATGGTTAAGAATTACATAGAAAAATTAGTATTAAACTGCCATTAAATACGTTAAAATTAGACTTGAAATTATATTTTAATATAATTTATGGCACTTTTGTAAATGAAGGCAAATGTTCATCATTTCTTAATGGATAAAATTTATTATCTGTAATTTCAATTCCATCTGACTAATTTTTAAAATTTTCTCATTCTGATGCAGGAGTAAGCACTTCTGTTTTGTTCTTAGATATTTTATTGGTTATTAAGTCAGAAGTGTTGATGGAAAATTTATTCAACTTCATTATTCAATAAATTTTTATAAACAAAAAACATTTTCTAATCATACAATGGATTTGTGTTATTAGGTTATGTGATTTACTTAAACTTTTATATTTAACAAATTTGTTAAAGTTGTGCAAATGTTGATTTAAAATAATTTTAATAATTTAGAATTAATTGGTATTATTATTATTATTTGTTTAATTTAATTTGTTTCTATCTAAGTCATTCATTAGATTTATTTTAAATCCAGTTCTATTCCTGCAAAATAAAAAATCAACCCACACTACTACATTACAGTGCAATTNACTAATTATTAATTATGAATTATTTCATATTAATTTTGTTGCCAAGTTCTAATCTAAAATTAATGCCATAGTTAAAAATTAGGGAAATATAATTTGGGACCTTTTAATAAATTTGTTATAACGAATCGTATCTAACTACATAGCACATATATTTATAGAACTATGTGGAAGAAATGCTGTTTTTCTGGTGATGGAGAATACATCTGTGCTGGATCTGCAAGGCAACACGCTTTATATATTTGGGAGAAAAGTATTGGAAATTTAGTAAAAATTCTTCACGGCACTAAGGGAGAGTTGTTATTGGATGTAGTAGTATGTTTTGTTATTAATTTTTTTAAACAAAACAAAATTTATAATTATTTTGTAAGATAATTTTTAAATAAATCAAATTACAGAGTTTAAATTAATCTTTTAGTGGCATCCGGTAAGACCCATCATTGCCTCTATTTCGAGTGGCGTAGTCTCAGTTTGGGCTCAGCCTCAAGTAGTATGTAGAAAAATTAGGCTTGATAATTTTTTTTTTTTTTTTTTTTTTTGTTAACGGTTAGACAGTATAATTAATATGTTGTTTTATAGGAAAACTGGAGTGCTTTTGCACCAGATTTTAAAGAATTAGATGAAAATGTAGAATACGAAGAAAGAGAAAGTGAATTTGATCTGGAAGATGAAGACAGAAGTCCATTACTTCAACATGAGAAACAAGAAGAGGACGAAGAGGTGGACGTCGTCACAGTGGGGCCTATTGCTGCTTTTTGTAGCAGGTATTTTAAAATATTATATGTATAGTTAAATGGCTATACATGGTAGTGTATTATATAAATTTCTTAAATTAGAAGTACTTTAGTTTTAATTTCAATTTTACACTAAATATATATAGCTATTACTTTGTTGTGTGGGGATTGTCTAACATTTTCCAAGCAACATCACCTGCAATATTTGTGAAATAAATAATGAACTTACTTTATTCAATAATCATAAAATATAACTACATACATTAAAAATTCAAATAAACTAAGTTAAAACTATAATCAGATTCAATTCTGTTTTAAATTAGTATTTTATAAATATACATTTAATACTTAAATACTGTCTTATCAAATAACATCAGTAGATGAAATTGCAATAAAAAAGCATTTAGGAGTTGGCTTCTTTTTATTTCTAAGATTCACTTGAAATCTTAGATTAGATTAGATCCTTACAAAAATTTAGTGTAAATTTCAGCATTAGTTCATCAAAATATTGGAATAGGGAATTTAATTTTGCTTTCAAGATTTATTTTTTGGTATATCTTGTTTAAAGTTGAAATCTCAAAATTAGATTATAATATATTATTTGATGCAGATTAGGGTTTCTCATTTCCTGGTCTTTTGCTTGTCCCAGGATTCCAGGATAAAAGTGAACTGTTTCCTGGGATAAAATTAATTATTTTTAAGATATACAAAATATCTTTAAAAAATGAAAAATAATTATATCATTTGATTTCAAGTAATTTAATATATTCTGCAATCTCCAAAATCATAATAATAATGCTGTGTAAGATATATATTAAAAATTACCTTTGAATTACATAGAAATTTTCACAAATAGAAAAAATTTATTAGTTTACTGGAAACAGCATACAAAAAAAATGCTTTGAATTGATTATATCAACACACTTGAATTTTTTGCCAAGCATAAATTCTTTTTATTTCTCAAAATGTTTTCAACCTATTTATTATAGGCCATCTTCAGGATTACCATTCCAAAATGGAATGCAACATTTTTCAAATACATTTCATTTTAAATTTAAAAGATTTACAATAATTGTGTATATAAAATAAATAAAAAGTAAATAATAACAGTAAATAAGATAAAATAAAATAGCATAAATAAATAAACACAGTAAACAAGGCTAAGTATAACTACTACAAGCATTAAGGGTTTTTAATCCCCATGCTTTTTTCTATCATGTACTTCCATGTAGTTGGAAGCGCATTAGCATCCTTGGCATTTAGGCAACGGTTTTTCGTTTTTCATTTTACTTTTATATATTTCCATTTTTTCAATTTCTAATGCAATGGATGGAGATTAGACCGTTTTAATAATTTTTGCCTCATCCCATTTTACATTCGCTCCTTCTGTCTGTGCCATGATTGCTAAAATGGTGTTGTTGTGCCCTTTATTAATGTTGTATGTGTGTTCTCGCATACATATTACTAAGTGTTCAGAAGACACTTAGCAATACGTATATACTTTGCTACTCCTAATTGTTAATTTTCAAATGGTATTTTATAAACTCCAGCTTTCTCTTGCATTTTTACACTGTCTTTATCATTTCTTAGTAAGCTATAGATGTTGAGAGCTCTTTTATATACCATTCTTGCATTTTTATAAGTACTCAATTCATTCATCACTTCTCCTATATGCTTATTGCATGTGAATTTGTTAATTGCATCTACTTTAGTATCTTTTTTGCCTTTATGTTGTCTGTAACTTTTGATCAGGCCTTCAGTGCCTTTTGTAGCCTAAATTTGTTGCACTTCTTTTAATTCTACTAATCTCCTTAAGACGGTCCTGTATGTTGGTGCAATATAAAAATGCTCTTCTAATAAGTGCCTTAAATGCTGATAACTTGTATTTATATGGATCGTTAGACCAAGATGGTATATATAGGGGAGCATGCGTGGGTTTTAAAAATGGCCTATAATAAGTAGGTTAAAAATGTTTGAGAAATAAAAAGAATTTATGCTCAGCAAAAAATTCAGGTATGTTGATATAATTAGTTGCAGTTGCTGAGAAAAAGGTGATTAATTTCCAACTCAATTCAAAGCTAAAAAACTGAACTGAGATCAAACTTCTAAATTAGAAAGTAATTTTTGTTTTTTAAATAAAACATAATATAAAAATTTACAATATTTTGTAATAAGATTTTAAAAAGCAAAGATGGTCGATATTCCGATCACTCGATTTGATTCTTATTTTAGTAATGAAAAGTCCTGCTACCAAGAATGTCCTTTCCAATTCAATTGATGTGGGTGGAATCATCTTTAATGCATTTAAGAGAAGACATGTTATGTCTTTCACCTGTAATCTGGAAGATTTCTAGTTTTTTTTCAAGATTGTAGTACTTCTTTTGCCGTCTAGTATTCTTGATTTGTCTACTTCAGCTGCTTTAATATAAACATCAAGTTTATAGCCCAATAATTCGGCAGTTCATTTGTCTTTAATAATCAGGTTTATGAAGAAAAACTTCATACTTGCATACTTCGTATTTGTTTGTATCCTTGCTCGTATCCTTGCCCAATTTGCACAATCTGAAATAATGCAGTTATTGAAGCTACTGGGCATGGTTAAAAATTAAGAAGCATAAGCACAATTATTCCAGATATTACAAGTTCTGACAAGTAAAGAATTTTCAGTCCTGCCACAAATAAGCTACATATTGATTATTGACCATTTGTGACATGCCATAATGAGAAAAAATTAAAAAAAAACTAATAAGTAGGTTTAAAATTAATAAATACAAATGTATTCTGACAGGTTATGAGTTTATACTTCTATTTGCAAAATTTCCTCAACTTTAACTCAAAATAAGAAAAAAGTGAATTTTTAAAAAAGTTGCAAGATTTCCTGGGTTAAAAAACAACCCGGATCCCATTTGACAAACCCTAATGCAGATGTAATTAATTAACCATCCAGTGTATAAACCATTCTTTTTATAATAATGGTTTAAATTTCCATTGCTTTCACTCTCAAATTTGTAGTCTCAACATTGAATTTTAAGAATTTATATACATTAATCTCATTATAAAAATTTGATTAAAGTTTATAACCTTGGAATTATTTATTATTTATTTTTATCTAAAACCATTGTTTGTTTTTCTTAAAATTACATGAAAATGTCAAGTTGGGTTTGGACTAATAAGTAATATTGATAGAAGTAATAATTATGATAAATTTCAGATGGATTTTAACCCAATTGTCTTTTTTTTTCATATTATAAAATACTTAAATTTTTTTTAAGAATTAACTATCACTTAGCAGAACAATTACATTACTATGTATATGATTGTGTGTTTGATTAACATAGTCCACATCACAATAATATTACCTTTATCATGTTGATTAGTTATAAAAGCAATAAATTTTAAAATGTGAAACACAAGTTCACTGTAGTGGAACCCGATGTGCCACAATTATTATGGTCCAGAATAGAAATCATTTCCTTTTCAAATAACAATAAATACGAGCAAATTTAATAAATATATAGCTACTGTTGGATTGTGTGCAGGTTATGATCACCTTTTAAATCAAAATATGCTGTAAGTATTTAAAATGCTTGATTAAATCTTCAAAACAAGAGAAAAATAATGGTGATGTAAGACTGTATGATTGACAGAATATAGATAATTTATCATAGATGAAACTCTATACTGTATATAAATGTCACACTTGGCCAGTCAATCTCTGAAAAGTGGACGCCATCAGGACCAAGAAATTTGTCTGTTATTTAGATAAAATACAGTACGGCTGCCAGCATGTATAAAGTGGTTGTCTTATGGCAAAGACTACAATTGGATTATGAAAACATCAAATTTGCATTGGGAATGTAAAAATAACAAACAGTATATGTACACATACAGTATATTACTTCTCTTTTTAGATTTACAGTTTGAATGTCAAGTTATGAATGCGATTTGCTAGATGCTTCAAGGAGTAAGGAAAGTATTCCTGATTCTTGTGTTTATAACATCATAAATGATCTAAGCCAGCAGTTTCCAATCTTTTTATCGCCGCGGACCGGTCAACGTTTGATATTTTACCGCGGCCCACTGAGGGGGGATGTTGATTGTTTATATTTTAGATTGATTTAATTTAATAACTTTAATTGAA